ACTGATTGATTGTAGATTTTAGTTTGCTTTTTCTCTGTGTGCTTTAACCACCTAGTAAATACTGGAGTGAACTTTGTTGAATGGACTTTGTCACACTTTCATTTTTATATTAAACCTGGTTTTGCTGATGCCTTTGCTGGCAATTCTTTGAGTGACCTTAAAACACTCCTTAGTGCCAGTGTGAAAACTTGCCAACAGCTCTACTGCAGTGATTCCTTACCTATATTTCAAAGATTATGTCTCTCTCCAGTGTCATTTAGTTGGTGGAAACACCAACCAATCCAACAGAGTGTCAGCTCTGACACAAGTCTGAGCTGAGCCAAGGCCTACAGAGACAGCCTGGAGCAAACAGCCATGGCCAAACTCCTCTTCCAGGGGCAAAGACCAAGTTTTCTACTCCTGCTGCAGCAGTTGCACAACAGCAGAAATCAGCAGTAGCAGGAGTTGTCTTCAGGGCCCAAGTGCTTAAAGCACTGTTGTTCAAACTCACCCCTTTGCTGACCCCTCAGTTGTCTCCCTGACACAGCAAGGTGGTGCCTCTGCAAGTTGAGCAGATGAGGTTAAAAACTGTAAGAATTTACTTTCACAGAATCACAGGATAGTCAGGGTTGGAAGGGACCTCTGCAGACCATATAATATGACCCCCCCAGCCCAAGCAGGGTCACCTGGGGCAGGTGACACAAGAACAAGTCCAGGTGAGTTTGGGATGCTCACAGAGGAGACTCCCCACACTCCCTGGACAACTGTTCAGGGCTCTGCCACCCTCAGTGTACAGAAATTCTTCCTCATGAGGTGGAACTTCTTGCTTTATGTTTATGGCCATTGCTCCTTGTTCTGTTGCTGGGCACCACTGAAAAGAGCCTGGCACCGTCCTCTTGGCACCCACCCTTGAGATATTTATTTATATGCATTGAAGAGATCCCCTCTCAGTCTTCTCTTTGGACTAAACAGGCTCAGCTCCTGCAGTCCCTCCTCATAAGAGATGCTCCAGACCCCTCAGGTTTATGGACCCCTCATGTTTATGGCCTCTTCTTGATCCTCTCCAGTAGCTCCTTGTTTTTCCTGCACTGTGGAGAACTGAACACAGCACTCCCTCTCCAGGGCTAGGAGCCTCACTTCCGAGAGGGTGCTCATTTCCAGCAGAAACAGATCATTCAATGAGGAGAATTTTAAATCAGGTTCATCTTTCAGGTAACAAGCACAGCACCTTGAACTGACACCCAAACACACAGCTATGGGGTAAGAAGAGTTTCTGTTCAACACAAGCATTGAAGTGAAACAAAACAGGGCAGTGCAACCACTCCTTCCTGCAAAATCCTTTCATACCTGAAGTTTTAGTTTGAGAAGGTCAAAAGCAGCACAGGAAAACCCATTACCCATAACCTGCACACCCCAAACCCTTCAAGTGACCTCTGGCGGGGAAGCAGCTCCCTCATTTGTGCTGTAGAGGGGTTGGAAGGATTTACATGTCACTTCTTTGCAGGTAGAGCTCTTTTATTGTTACCTTTCCTGGGGGTGTGTGGTTACAGGCACAGTCAGGGCTTGTCGTCGCTGTAGTAGCGCTGCTTCATGGCTCGGTATTTCCTCAGGAAGTACAAAGCCTCCAGCTCCTTTATAACAAACTCTCCCCGGGCAATCAGCTGCTTAATTTTTTCAGGGTCTGTCTCATCTTTGTTTTTTAGAAAAGCTGCTTTCAAACGGCTTCTGAAGTAGTCTGCTCCTTTGGGATACTCCCTTCCAAGGTACAGCAGCTTGGAGAGAAAAGAATAATAATGTGGTTTTAATTAACTGAGTGCACAGTGAAAGGGGGTTTTTTTTCTGGTTAAGGAAAGTGCTGGTGGCATTTGAGACACTTACATTTTTGTACAGTTTTATCACTTCACTTCTTAAAGAATTGGCCATTCTCACATTTCAGTGAACTGTGTCCTTGTGTGATTTTTTTGGTTTGTTTGGGTTTTGTTACCTGAAGGATAATCAGTTTGAAATTAGCCTTCTTTGGGAGTCAGTAAACCACCTCAGCCTTCCTAAAACTTTTGTATCCCACCAAGCCCCGTTTGCTCTAATTCTGGTTCTACTCCGTCTCTTCTTTTTCTTTCCTACTTTTTATTCTATTTAGCTTCTCATTGTCATTTCCCCTCCCCCCTCAAACAGAAAACAAGAAACTTCTAATAACTTTCAACAACTGGGACACTTTGTGCTGTTCACTGGCTGCTTTCTCACACCCATACAATTCTGCACCTGCTGGCCTGGCTGCTTCTGTGGTCTGCTAAAATACTGTATCTACATATATATGTATACACACATATAAAGTGGTAAAGATATCTAAATAGAACATATATTTAATATATTTTATATATTAATAATGGTAATAATAATATATTTTATGTGTTTATTTTTATCTCCACATATATTTATGTATTACATATTCCTGTATTGTATATATAGATATATCCATTTTATACATATACATTTATATTGCTGCAACTGTCACATTCATAAATTTTGCTTTTTTAAAGACTCTTCAAGTGCATTACAAATTGAGTCCAGTGTGCACCGGCAAAACGTAAGGATAAGTGACAAAGTAACTGATTCTTATTTCTGTATTCTGTGATTTTCAAAATCACAGCCTGAGTTGGAAAAGACCTTAAAGATCATCTCGTCCCAACCCGCGGCCGTGGGCAGGGACACCTTCCACTGTCCCAGCTTGCTCAGAGCCCCGCCCAGCCCGGCCTCGGACGCTGCCAGGGTCGGGGCAGCCAAAACCAAATCACAAGCGACTGGAATCCAGTCCAGCTCCCGCTGCGGGGCCTCCTCGGGCCGACGCCTCCCCCTGGCTCTGCCTGCCACCCCGCTCCCCCCGGAGCCATGCCCGGTTCCCTGCGGATCCCGGCGAGGCCGGACCGGGATCTCACCCGCTGCTCCCGGAACCGCCGCCGTGCCGCTTTACGGCAGCGCCGGCAGCGCCCGGCCCGAGCTGCGCCTGCGCCGCCGCCGCCGGGGCTGCGGGCGGGGCCTGGGGGGGGCGGGAGCCTGAGGGAGGCGGGCGCCGGGAGCCTGAGGGAGGCGGGCACCGCCGCGGGCACCGGGAGCCTGAGGGAGGCGGGCACCGCCCCCCGCGGCAGAACCGCATCCTGAGGGACACGGGCGTCGCCACGGGCACCGCCACGCGCGGCGGGATCGCATCCTCAGGGACACGGGCACCGCCAGCCGTGGCACGACATGGTGGGGCGGGGAAGGGGCCTGGGTACGGGTTACATGGTGGGATGGGGAAGGATGAGGTGGTGCAGTAAAGCGGGGCGTTCTTGTGAGCTGCCCAAGTCCCGGGAGGTGGGAGAAAGGCTTTGAGGCTGAAAGAAGCACCCGAAGGCCGCGTTATCTGTGGTGTGAGACCCGGCGAGAGCCCTTGTGCCGTGGGTTGCTGCTGTGGCTGCTCCGTGTGGAACCAGCCGGGGAGGCGGCTCACACTTTGTTGCCAGAATGGCTCCGTGGTAAAAAACTTCATTCCAGGAGTCATGTATTAGTGGCTAATTTTCTGCAGTATTGAAATTCTTGTCATTATAGTTTTTCAATAGATAATCACATTTAATTTTAACAGAATAATACTATTTTTCTAATTATTCCTTTCTAGCTGATACATTGTTTTCTGATGTTCCTTTTCCTTTTTTCCCCCCTCTGATCTTTTAGGCTCCGAAAAAAAAGGTAGGTAGGCAGAAACACGCTGTAGTTCACAGTTGAGTTTATTTTTTTATCCGATTTTTTGTTTTTTTTCCTGAGGCAGCTGGCCAGGGTTAATGAATCTGAAGGGGGAAGAGGCGTCTCCAGGACACCAAGCTTTTGTGCCTTGAGCAGGGAAGCCAAATGTTCCTGCAGCGCTGCTCAGAGGGAGCATGGCCAGCGCAGCCACTGCTTGTTTGGCTTGGCAACGGGTGTCCAGGCAGAGAGTAGAGGCGGTGTCCTGGCTCTGTCCCAGCCATGAGGTGGCAGCAGAACCAGGGCAGTGACTGTCCCCTGTGCTGGGCTCTGGCGGGGCCGCGTTTCGAGTGCTGTGTCCAGTTCTGGGCCCCTCACTGCACGATGGACATGGAGGGGCTGGAGCGTGTCTAGAGAAGGGAAGGGGGCTGGGCAAGGGGATGGAGCACCAGGTACAGCTGGGGGGTGGGGGGTGAGCCTGGAGAAAAAGAGGCTCTGGAGGGACCTTCTGGCTCTGCACAACTCCCTGACAGGATTGGGCAGCCCGGGGAAATCAGGCTCTGCTCCCAGGGAACAAGGGACAGGAGGCGAGGAACGGCCTCAAGCTGTGCCAGGGGAGGGTCAGGTTGGACATCAGCAGGAATTTCATCATGGAAGGTTTGTCAAGCATTGGAAGGGGCTGCCCAGGGAAGTTTGGAGTCCCCATCCCTGGAGGTGTCCAAGGAAGGCCTGGACATGGCACTCAGTGCTCTGGGCTGGGGGACAAGGTGGGGATTGGGCACAGCTTGGACTCGATGATCTTGGAGGTCTTTTCCACCCTGAATGCTTCTGGGATTCTGTTGTTTGAGCCATAAGCTAGACACAGAACAAGGAGGGGGAAGGGACAACAGGCAGAAGTCCATGGGAAACTGAGTTGCATAAATTGGTCCTGTGGGTTATTCTTACTTCAGTGATAGTGAATTTATCTACTCCTCCCCAGCTGTGCATCTCACTTTTCTCAGTGCTCTGTTAAGTCATAGGAATGTGAAAAGAAATTGACTGAAACTTGATTTCAAGTAATTGAAACAAGCAGGTTTTCCATTTTCAGTTTATTTATTTATTTATTTATCAAAATGAAAAGAACAAATTCTTCCCTGAAATCCTAACGGGTAGAAGTGTGAATTTTACTGACATTATTTTGGGATAATTTTGCAAATGAATGCTTTGGTACCAAATGTGGCAAGATGCACTCAGACTCTGGTGGCACTGTCTGGTCACCACTATATTTGTCCCAGCTTCATGGCAATCTCTGTACTCAAAGTTGCATTTATAGATAGATTTATGCCAATGTGTTTATTGCCATGCCAAGTAGTGTGAAGTGAACAAGTAGTTATTTGTGTCTGAATGTGTGAAAGTTGAAATCAAAGTGTGAAATAAGTGTGTGTGAAGAAGGAACAGTGGTCAGATACTTTCTGAGAACCTCAAATTTAAAATATCATTACTCTAGGATATGCTGGAGGTGAACAGTGAACTGTCTGGAGTGAGATTTTATAACAGAAAAGAGAACTCTTTGCTATTTTGTCTTGTGAATTAGATGATTCTAAATGCCAGGCTTGTCCCAAAATACATTTTCCAGTATTTCCTAAAATGTTTGAAGTTGTAGCATCTACTTTCTTAGCAGATCTGCCTGCTACTCAATTTCTACATTAAACCAAAAGATTTTAATACTCTCATGTTGTGGCTGTGTTTGGGGATGTCTAGCATAGAAAAATACATTAATTTTAAGACCTTATCATCAAAAAGAGAAGAATTTAGTTCAGAATGTGCATTACTATTCTGGGGCCTTCATTGGCTGTCTAGGAAGTCTGAAATCTTAACTGAGGGATCACATTGGAAGGGCAAAGTTATAGAGTTATAGAACTGCCAAAGAGTATTAAAATAATACTGATATTTGTTTTCTTCTCCCTTATTGCAAACATGAAATTCAATGGTAAAAAGGGAAAATCAAAGAAAGCAAAGGAAGCGAAGCTGAGAGGTAATGTGCACTTCATTTTGAGGGAATGTGATGGACAAATTGTTAATTTTAAATAAAGGGGCAAAAGGTGATGTCCTGAACTAGATGTGAATTGCTGGCTCTGTTTCACAAATGGAAATGTTCTTCCCTCTTTCCTGGTGAGGGCCAAACTCTCTGTTCCTTGATGCTGCACCTCACTTCCCTATCAGAGCAATACTCTCTTCTCTAGTTATTCCTACTGCAATTAGGAAGTTGGGGAGAATTAACTTGCCATTAATCCATCCTGGTGGGGGCTTGGGCATGCTGTGACTGCCAGGAAGGGAGTGCTAATCACTGGTGAGCTTTTATGGTGAGAGTGGGAGCTCAGGTGGGCACAGGCAGATTTGGGAACTGCTGCTGCTCTTGCCTCAGTGCAGCACACGCTTGACACGATTTACTTGGAGGTGATGACATCAAGTCACTGTTTGGGAACATCTGGATGGCACACAGGCTGTGCCATTTTAGGCTGAAGGCTTAGAGGTTGAACCAGTTCTAGTTTTCACGTCCTCTCTAATTTTCTAGTCCCTATGGCAGCAAAGAGAAGCAAGAACTGTGGAGTAACAGATCCTGAAGTGGATTTCAATGAACAAACAGCTGTAAAATTGAAATTGTAGGAAACCAGTGGTTGTAGGAAAGAAGACAACAAATTTAGGATTAAAGCACTGAGTTTCACTCAAGACTTTGGATTGAGAACCTGTGTCCATTGAAGCTGTAGATGGAGGGAGCACTCACAGACTGATGAGGCAGTGCCAGAGACAGTGTGCTTTAGTAGTATTCAAATTAATTTGGATCCATCTTCATATGGGAGATTTCTGTGCAGTGAAAGATAAACATTTATGTTGCTCATTTTATAGTGGTTTTATCATTACAACTGGTAACCAAATAATCTCTTAGATTTTATTTAGGAAAGCATAGTTATGCCCTTGATCTCTTTCCCAATCCTCAGCTGAAGCCCTATTACGAGCTCAACAAGAAGAAGAAGAAAGACTTGAAAGGGAGAGACTGTATCGAGAGCACTTGGAAAAGCTTGAGGCAAAGGTTAGTCTTTTACTCAATGAAAAAATCTAATCCTATTTCTAAACTTGAGACAAGGCCTGTAAAACATCAGTGATTTATAGGAATTCATTTCCTTATGCACTTATTGTTGGGAACAATATTTTCCAGTTTTGATAAATTTAAATACATTACCTTTTGTCATATGTGTTTCTAAAGTTCAGTTAAATGCCTTTTTTTTATTTCCCATTTCCACTGTGCTTTCAATTGAATATATTTTTCATATTCCCCATGAGGATATTTGGTACAAATTCCTAATTGGTTCCCTGTTCAGGCAGATACAGTGCTTTGTATTTGTGTGTATATATATATGTGTGTGTGTGTATTAGACTATGTATATTTATTTTTCTGAACAATCCAGCATTCAGAACAAAAACTGATCGATGATAGATAACTATTTTTGTGTTTTAAAAGAAAAAAAAAAAAAGATTTACAACAAACTAATTTTTTTTAAAGAATCACTCTTGTCTACTCCTCTTGTACTTCACAGAATATTTTTTTCCTCCTAGGGAGAAGATGACCTTAAAATAATAGAAACTAAAAGGGAAAAAATAAAACAGTCTTACATGTTTTTTCCAAATTATCCTTACATATTTTAGCAGCTCCCATTAGGGCTGGCTCCAGGATGCTGATATGGAAACTGTTGAAGTGAGAGGTTGCAATCATATGTCACATTATGTTTATCATATGACTCATCAGCTACTGTGATGACAATAACATATTTCAAACTACTGCAGTCTTCTCAATTGGATGTTTCATAAAAAAAGCAAATTTTCAGTGTTTGGATTTGTTTAAATAATAACTCATTCAAATATCCCCAATTTGTTTCTTCTATGTAAAATAATTGTAAGAAATAAGCCAAATATTTAGCTGCTCTGTTTGATATATGTATTTTTTTATCAGTATCAAGGAGAGAGGGAGTCCGAACTAGCCCAACATAATTCACTGGAACAGAAGTTTCTTTCTGCACAGCAGTGGAAAAGGGATTACAGAGAACAAGCCAAGGTAAGCTTTCTTGCCAAAATCTGCCCAGAGGTTTGGCAAGGAAGAGACTTCAGGAGCTTCCAGTTCTTGAATGTATGTGTGTGCTATGACAGCATTGTGAATTCCATCTCAAATCAGATGTCTTACTACTGAAAATTGACCAGTCTTCTATACAGGAGTTTCCTGTGCACTCAGCACTCCCCTATTGTTGCTTTGCTTGAAGTCAGTGGGAATGCTGGTGGAAGTGGTTGAGAATGCAATCCTATAAGTGCTTTTGCTTTAAAAGATACATTTTCCTTTGCAATGCAATTTTCAGTAACATGGGGTTGTTAATCTTCACAGCAAACGGGGGGCAATCTTTTCTTAATATCCTATTCTATGGATGAAAAAAATTCCATTATGGGTGATAAATTGATCCCATGAGCCAATGTTAGGCTTATGTTTGGCATTAAGTGGGTTTAGTCTGCCACTGATTTTTTCTTTCCACCTCTATATGAATGACCAAGAATTGATTTGAAAATAAAGTTATTTTTAAAAAGCCCTAATCTAGGATTTCACATTCCTACCAGAGGTTTCTGCAACAGGATAATTGATGCTGGTAAGGGAGAGGAAATCTCCTTCAGAGGCAGAGAAAGGAGGAGTAAATTTGTTGCAGTAGAGGCTCCTAATCAACTTTATTGCCAGTGTAGGAATTTTCAGTTTTCTTGGCAGAATCTGAGACCCACCTGCCTCTTCCACCTGCACCTTCCTCGTTTCTGTTCTCAGTCATTTTATTCTTCCAGCCCCTCCCTTATGGCAGGTACTGAATTCATTGCTTTTGTGAAGCAGAGCAGAACCCACTGATAAATAGGTATAAACAAGTGTGAGGTGGGCAGAAGCATCTTAACACATTAATATCAAAGTAAACCTTTTTTTCCTGGCATAGGGATAATAAACCAGGTGGTGTTAGAATCCTGTTTAGATGCAGGTGTGAATTTGTCACTATAACGTATTTGTCTTTCAGAATCCTCCTTTTTCTTGTAATAGCAGTGTGCAGCACACCTGTATCCACTTTTCTCTGAACTCTCCTGCAGTGGGAGCACTACCTGAGCTGTGATGGGACTCCTGACCCCACTGTACCTCAGGAAATCAACACTTTCATGAGCCTGTGGCGTGATGACCAAGATCAGGATGTCCAGCTTGTGATGGAGAAGGAGGAAGTGGTGCTGCATGTAAGTGTTTAAATGGTGTATTTCAGTTTAAGCTTAACATATCCTTAACAGCCCTCTCTAACTCTATTTTCCCATTTTTCATGGCCAAATGAGTGAAAGACCTTCAACACCTAGAAGTTTTTTTTCAATTTTTCTATTTTTCCTAAATTAGAGATCTATTGTTAACCCTGAAGAAGATGTGTATTGACTTTCAATATGCATTTAAGGGACTTTTGCTGTGTTTCTTACACTGAGGTCTAGCATTCCAACATCCATACTCCCTTCCATTTTAAACCAGAGCACACAAGTTCATGTCAGATATAAATGCTTTGGTGGGCAAAAACCTCATTTTGTAACATTGAGCCAGTAAAATGTCATGTAAGAGCAAAAGTTCCCAGAATTGATTTTTACCAACAGAAGTCATCAGCTATTGATAGCTTGTGAAGCAATTTTTAGCAGTCTGTGCCTGCTCTGTAAATTCAGGATCTTATTTTCATTTATTCTGACTTTATGTTGTTTTTCAGAAAGTTAAATCAAGCCTTCTGGAAACTGGGGGGGGAAGTTGCATGTGTAATACAGGTTTCATTGGGTTGGTTTGATTCTGAGTTGGATTTCTTATCTGTCTATATAAAAAAAAAGGTTATTTTTCTGACCAAAATCTGTTTAGATGCAAAGGAAGTAGGTATGCCTCATTTTTTATGACAGAACACACAATATGTTAAGGATGGTGTCACAACAGATACTTCTCCCATGTAAATGTTTTCTAGTTGGTTGAGAAGTTGGAGTTTCTTCTGTTGGAGGCAGCACCAGGAGAGATCACAGACGAACAACGAGACCAGTACCAGGAAGTTATTCTGCAATTGCAGGATCTGCTTCACCAGAAATACAATGATGCTACCCAGAACCTGCTCAAAGTGAGTGAGGTTTACTGCTTCAAAGCTGTGATTTGCACACATAAGTTAACACCAAGTGTCCTTCAATGATGCTTGGCTCTGTTTGGTCCTAAACTGCCACAGAGATGAGTCTGTGAGTTTCAAATCATGTTTATAGCACTCACCAGACTTTAATTACTCAAAATTCCTGAAAATCTGAACTTTACAGTGGGAAATCTCAAGAATAAACGACTGGGAAATTTTGTGAGACTTGGGGATGATGATAACAAGAGGTGCTGTATGAAATTTGTTGACTGTACCAAAAAATTGTAGATGTGAAAAGCAACTCATAAGGTTGCCTTGTACACATTTTTTTAATACAAGTTCATGTAATTAAAATATTTTGGAAACTAAGATCTGGGGAAAGGTGAAGAGTACTCAAACTAGAAAATGAAATTGTGCTGGAGAGTCAGTTTTCTGAGCTGCATGTGTGGGTAGTTTTACATACTTATATATACTTTATGTAGGTACTTTAACATACTTTATATATATGATTAATATTCTTGAAATAGCAAGGTCACTACCTTGCTATTTCAAGAATATTAATCATATATATAAAGTATGTTTAGCAAAGGAATATTAGTAAAATAGTGAACCAGTTGTATGTGCACAGTCAAAACCCCCTGCAAATTAAGAAATGTTGAATTCTTGTTTCCTGAATTTAGGATTAAGCTCCCAACAGAATTAGTATTTCACAAGTTTGATGCTGCCTAAATGATAAAATAATCTGTACAGTGCATCTGGGGTAGGAGTCTATTATTGCTCAGTAAATCCTTTTTTTTGTTTATTTTTTATAATTTATCCTGAGAATTAGGGAAATAATGGAAGAACCCATATTTGGCAGTACTTGGCTCCCAGAATTTATGAAGTCAGAGAAAAAAAAAGCAATGTAGTTAAAATTTTAAGCAACAGATTTGAGTTTGTAACTGTTGTGCTTTAATATATAAATACAACACAGCTGGGCTTGGTCTGGTGCCTTTTCATTCTTACATGTATTTTTTTTTATTATTTATTCAAGTAAATGTAGGTAAATCAATGTGAAATAAATAACATATGATTTAATTGGCTTTTTTCTTTGTAGATAGCTAGTATGTATGAAGATTCTGAAACTGGGAATATGCACACAGTCCTAAAGGATAAAAATGTTACTTTCTGTATTTGGGCCAATCTGAAGAAGAAAGCAAGGTACAGTACACTGAAATTATTAATTTGAAATGAGGCCTGGCTTTGTTGAGTAAACACTAAGAATCAATTTCTCATAATCTTTTTTTTGTTGTTGAATAGCATCCATTCTGCAGACTCTCAGTGCTGGCTGCTGCTAAGGAGTGGTTTAGAGATATATAAATTTCTTTCTTAAAATGCAGCAGCAGAACCCTGTCACTGCCAGAACAAATTTGGAAGAAAAACAGTAAAGCTCATGCAGAGAATTGAAATTCCTCTGGAAGCAGTGTTTCTTGCTGATGCATTTAATATTTTCTAAGTTGTTCCAGTTGCTTGCAAAGCAGGGAATGATACTTTGTGCTCAGTTAGAGAAAATATTTTAGAGCCTGGGATGCACTATCATTTCTGAATCTAAATCTTGTGGTTTTATTGGATTACCATATAAATGGCACATTGCCAAAATGAGATTTTTGAGCAGACTTCCTACTCCCACTCCATAAATGTAAGGAATAAGTTATTAAAAGGACTTTAGCTAGACTAAGGACCTGTTGCTGTGAGTTTTGTTAAGGTAAGTAGAAGGGTGGGTGCTGAGCAGTGTCAGACTGACCTGCAGGAAGAACCCATATGGGTTAAGGGTTAAAGCCTTGTGGGCAGCAGAGAGATGCACTTAAAATATTCAACCAACAATTAAAAGCTAAGTGTTGCTTTACTGGAAGATTTTTAGAACTTTTGACTAGCTTATCTTATTCAAAAGTAAGTATTCTTTGAATTATTTTGAAAGCTGCTAAGAGTGATGTAACCCAGCTGTGCAGGGATTTTTCCCAATAAATTAGTCAGTTGTACCAGAAATGTAGTTTCTAGAAGAGCTGCCATCTGATCCTGCCTCATTGCCATGCTGTCAAGACTTATTTTTGAGAGTTCTGATCCCTTTGATGCAGTTGTGGCTTTGCTGGAGGGTCTCACAGACAGCTGCCAGCACCAGCACTGTGCCATCCCACAGCATTTCTCAGACACTCAATTGTGAGGAAGCACCAAAGGAAGTGCTGCCGTCTCACCAGGCCCTGTTGCTGTGTCCCTGCCCTTGCCAGGTTCAAGGACCACGTGTTCCAGGGGGCAGGGCACGCCTTTGAGCTGCCCATGTCCCTGGCCCTGAGCAGCGTGGCCGTTCGCCTGCTGCACACCCACTACGACCACGTGTCTCCCCTGTGGCTGCAGTGCCAGGGGCTGCCGAGGCAGGGGGCCTCAGCCACCCTGGGGTCAGCTGAGCTGCCAGAGGACACTGGGCAAGGACCAGGAGAAGAGGAGGAGAAAGGCAGGGAAGAACCCAGCGTGCCTGCTGCAGAAGAAACGGGTTCTAAGGGCAGAAAGGTGGGTAAAAACCTCTTGTAAACTTCAGGCTCAGTCACAGTGTCCTGTGCAGGACAGCCATATCCTTAAATGTTTTATAGGAAAAGGCAGCTTGTGTCAACAGTGTTATAGATCTTCTCAAGGGAATGCAAAGATGGGAAGTTTGGATAGGGTGTGCAATTGGCATTTGGTTTAAGAGAAGGATGGAGCATGAAGTGCCATTGCAAGATATTTCTATAAATCTCTGGCATAAATACAGATTAAGGGATTCTGCTTCTGCAAAACTGGCAGTCCCACAAAATCTCAGCAGGAATCCAATTTTAGGGAAATTTGCAGCATGCAGACTAAGATTCAGAGTTCAGCAGGTGTTGGCTGAAGTGCCTGGCTGTTCCATGTCTGTGTGCTGACCCTTTGCTGAGAGAGCCTTTTCAAATATGATTTCTGGCTGCCTGTCCTCTTCCTCAGCTCTCTTCCATGGAATATCTTGGCTTTAGGTGTGATGGAGGTTGCTTGGTTTTGTGTTGTCCATACTTCATTTGGGGTTTTTACTCTGTGTATTTATCTGTGACTTTCAGATAAATGCTCCGTGTTCTCACCTGAAATTATGCAGAAATAACTGACAAAACATCAAGTTTTAGGTCTTCTTACTATTTTTGGAGCAATTTCATGGGATAATACGAGTGGAAAGGGACCCACAAGGATCCTTGAGTCCAACTCTTAAGTGAATGAACTCTGGGATCCATACAGGGATCAAACAGGGATTGAACCTCTGTCCACGATCATGGCTTTTCTCCTTTTCAGTCCCCAACACCTTTGTAATGAATCAGTGCTTGAAATCCTGCTTCTCTTGGTTCCTTTTTTCTTTTTTTATATGACAAATCTTATCTTTTGGCACTTTTCACCTACATTACACAGATTTTCTTTAAGCTGCTTCATTTTATTCCCTCTCTTTTTCTTTCCCAGGTCTTGGTGCTCTTTCTCTCAATCCATTTTGTGGATTTTCCTTTTCCCTCTGAAGGCTCCACTTCTCTCAGCTTCTGTCCTCTCACCTCCTGTCCTGTTTGAGGAGATGTGTGTTCTCTGCAATGCTGGCAGGCACAGAGGGTGCTGTGCCTCCAGAGGAGTGTGCTGTGGCATGGATGAATCCCTGTCTGCACTGGATATTTGTCTGGAAATCCAGGGGAGGTACCTTGAGCTCCCCCACATTGCTGGGTGTAAATACAGTGAAATACAGTGTGAAATGGAATAAATCTCCTGGGCCAGGCACAGGCCAAAGCTGCAGATGGGGTTCTGGCACAGTTTCACTGTTGGTTTGGATTCAGCCTCGACATGCATTTTACTTTGTGCCACTCTGCTGACTGTAAAATCATCAAAAAGCACAAGTTTTGAGTGCACACTCTGCTGAAAAAGTGTTGGGTGCTTGTTTGGTACTCAGGGAGCTCAAGATGGAATTTGCTGTGGAAATGAAGTAATTACTTTGTCTCTATCTCTAAATCCAGTTCCAAACCAGAGAGTATCTTGAATCAAAATAGTTTCGATAGCCAGATAGAAATTATTTCTCTTAAAACCTTGACCCTGTAGCAAGATTGGTACAAATGTTTGTGTATCCCTTCTCCTTGGGCCTCCTTGAAGGAGGTGATACCTTCTTCTTCATTGTGTTTGTCTCTCACTAATGGAAAAATGTCTCTTGCTTTTTCTCTAGGAGAGTTCTGCCTCACTGAAAGGGACCAGCAATAACACAGATGATATAAAAGAGACACAGGAGGAAACTGAGAAGAATTCAGAAATTTTGGATGCATCATCACAAGGTATTTGGTTATTTTTTATGTGCAGCACTACAAAAGTATTTAGGCTAAGTATTTTATGTGTTAAAAATTCCCTGTGAGGGTGGTGAGGCCCTGGCACAGGGTGCCCAGAGCAGCTGTGGCTGCCTCATCCCTGGAAGTGTCCAAGGCCAGGCTGGATGGGGCTTGGAGCAACCTGGGATAGTGGAAGGTGCCCAGGGGGGTGGAACTGGACTTGAAGGTCCTTCCCAACCCAGGCCATTCCATGATCCATGGAAACACTGCAATATCTCCATGTGAATGGAGCAAAGCTTATAAATACAGGGATGTTTTGATATCACTTGGGTTTTGTTGACATTTCTATTAATGATTTTTAAATCATGAGGGGAGATAACAGGACAGATAGGAAAATGGAGTTTGTCCCCACACTTATTTTATTTATTATTTATGCTTATGTACATGTTTATAATGTTTCTGTAGATATGTATATTATTGTACATACATTTATGGGTGAGACACACAATGTTCATGAATCTGCCAGGCTCTGGGGAGATTTACTTCCTCAGAAAATGATGATTCCAATGTTTATCATGGTAGGCATTGGTGTAGTGTGGGATGGTACTGAGTATTACCTAAATGGGTGCTTCAAGTGAGAGGGCCTAATTCTAGGAAATAAAACTGTTTGTCTGTCCCACATAAGTTACAAATTTCTTCAGTGTTGTGGCGTTGTCCTTTGGTTTAACAAGAATGAGTTTTCTTGTGGTACTGACTTAAATAAAACAACTGCAAACAACTATTAGCATAATTTAGCTCCACTTTACAGCCTTTTTCTTCTGGTAAAAAAACAAACCCCACCCACAACACTTTGGACGGAGCCCAGTCCAGAGAACCAGTTGTCAGACTAGACCCTAAAAGCAAGGTTTTCAAAAGAACATAAAGGTCTTGGGCCTCATGTGGAGGAATTTGTATTTTATTTCTGTCAGGCTTTGAAAGCCCCTACCACAGTATTAGATGAAGTGGATGTGCACAGATGTGCACAATTATACCTGAGTGTTTTCCAGCTTTTTCATCTGTTTTAATAAGGAAAGAAGGAAAAAACCCTTTTTTCTGGCACGCTCATGGTTTGTAAAGTCTTTCAATCACGTTTGAGAAGAGCAGTGAGAGGATGCTCAGTTACCTTAAGTTCAAAACAATGAGACAGGTAAATGAGGGTTAAAAACCAAAAATGCAACAACAGAGAACAGTGACAGTTTCTCTGGATTTACCCTTATTGTGCCTCTGTTAAGGAGATAAGTTACCTTGGGACAATAAATAGTTTCTTTAGAAGATACTTATATATTTTTGTATTATTATTTTAAAAAACAAATTAAAGTGTAAGCTACCACTGTAAAATGCACTGAAATGTTTTTTGCTACTTGGTAAGTTTGTTGTTCAGAATAACTGTAAAAGATGGTGTGTGATACAGTAGAGTAAAACTTCTGCAGAATGTAACTAAATCTGACATTAAATTAACACCATTTTCACTTTTTTTTTTTTTAAGCTTGAAGACATTTTATAGAAAGCATTCTCATTTTTTGATATGGTCTTATTCTCTCAGAGCAAGTTTCATAACAATTAGACTAGCTGTTTTTACAGTACTGAACACCTTTTTCTTGATTCCTGTCAACAACAACTCCTCTCCTCCATGTGATGTTTTATGTGGGCTGGTTTGCTCTTTTAAAGAAAATATTTATGGCCATTTTTTCCACAGTGTTTCTGCCTTTTACTAACATTTTCCAACTAATTAAATGTTAAGTTCATACATTTGTGATACATACGTAATTATGCATAGGAAAAAAAAAGGAATTACCTTTGTTATCTGAAAATTGTGTTTCATGTTAAATCCTCTTGCTCTTCCTAATTACTATGTCTTTCACCTTCAGCATATGACTGCTTAGTGCCTTATTTTTATATATCTCTTTATTTGCTTCATTTCTTTTCATATCAATAGAATCTTACTAAACCTGTCCAGAATCTTTGGTATTATTGTGCTTGTGAAATTCTTCTGTGGGTAACGATGGACTCATTCTGTCAGTAAAACCTTATTCCCACGGAAAGCATTTGGAACTCCAAATCCAGAAGCTCAGCCCCAGTCCCGAGTGTTTCCATTGCCCGGCTCGCTGCTGTCCCCGGTTCCAGCGATGCCGAGCAGCGCCAGCAGATGGGGCCGGAGCGCTGCAGAGCGAGGCCGAGCAGCGCTGAGCGAGCCTCGGCGCAGGGCGATGCCGGTGAGGTTGAGCCCCCGCTGAACTCCTGCTGTCCGCTGCACTTTCCAGAGGAGGAGGCCCCGCCGCAGGAGGAGCCGGGAGGCAGAGAAGAGGCGCCTCAGGTTGTGGATTTGGAGCAGCTGGTGCCCGTGGGGGGCGTGTTCCACATCTCTGCCCTGCAGCTGCCACCCCAGGCCCAGGACGCCGGGGACTGGACCATGGTGGAGGTGAGGGAGGACAGGGAGCAGCCCTGGTGGCCCTGAGGAGCTGCTCCTGAGGTTTGTCACTGCTGTCACATGCACTGCACGCGAGTTCCTGACAGCAAACTGACCAGGCAAGGTTTACAAATCATCAGTTTTTCACGTGTGAAAGGTGGAAGCACAGTGGTACCAAAAACCACTGCTGGTTCAGCTCCAGGCTCTGCAGGCTGGTTGAAGACTGTGGGCACTGGGTTCTGGTTTCCTCTAGCACTGCCCTACCCCACAGAGGGCACTGAAGCTGGAAACCTTTAATAAGCAAAATTCCCAAAAAGCCAAACCCAGAGAGCAGGACTGTGGGCAGGGGAAGAGGCCCAGGATGTTCATTCCCAGCCCCTGCGGCCTCCCCTTCCCTCTGGCACTGTGGGGACAGTGGGATTACAGCTGCCTTTGCCTCCCCTGCTCCCAGGCTGGGCTCTGTGAGGAACGGCTGTGCCCCCTGGGCCCTGCCCTGAGGGTGCCTGCAGCAGCACAGGAAGGGCCCAAGGCCTCCTGGTAGCTGCTCTTCTCCTGCCTCCAAAGCTGAGCTTGGAAAGGTGCAGTATTAGCAAACCATTTTCAATGGGTGTTAAAAAGCTTTGCAGTATTAGATGAACTCAAAGGAAAAAACCTGCATTTTCTGATAAACCCCTTATCTGTCCTTTTCCTCTCTTGCCAAAGCTGCTGGATGTTGGATTGGAGGTGTATCCATATTCCCCAGGAAAGGCTGAAGATGGCACACAGGAAGCAGTACAGATAACCCTGAGGCTCCCTGATAATGTGATTTATTTTAAAGTGCCTGTGGTAGCCCGATGGGATCCTGCAGGTCTGAACTTAAGACAAAAATTTATTTCAAATTTGAATAGTGGAATTTATACCTGAGTTGGACTCTTGTTACAATCCAGCTGTAAAGATAAGGGCCAGTTTGGAGCCCAGAAATAGTTTGGGGATTTGAATGTTAATTGATTTGGGGATTTTACATTTTCTTTTTATTACTACTTCTTTGGTTTGTTTTACTTCAGCATTACTGCCAGAAGCCTTCCACGTACTGTGGAAATGAAGTAATTTCCATTTGCTGTAGAAATGAAGTAATTACTTTGTCTCTATCTCTAAATCCAGTTCCAAACCAGAGAGTATCTTTAATCAAAATAGTTTTGATAGCCAGATAGAAATTATTTCTCTTAAAACCTTGACCCTGTAGCAAGATTGGTACAGGGTTCCATCCTCTTTGTCCAGGCCAATGGTGGAGAACTGATGGCATCAGCAAGATAACCTATGAAGCAGAAGAAAAGAGCATCACCTTTAGCATGGGTGACTTTTATACAGTAGCCCTTCTCCAGGATGCTCACCTGAACCTGCCCTATCAGGCCTGGGAATTGGACCCTACTGGTGTGGATGAAGGACTCTTCACAGTTACTGCAGTCTTTGCAACCATTCAGATACAAATTAAGGTACTGTCAGTAATTTTTTAATCAAACAGTTGCAGATAAAAAGCCCCATAATTATTGTCCCTGATTAAGAATTTGGGATGCTTCTACAAGAGTAATTTGAATCTCTCTTCCTTTCCAAGCACTGCACTGGTTATTTAATTTCAGTTATTTACTATGAAAAATAGTACATTTCACATAGCAGAAATGTGCATTTGCTCTGGAAAGTTTCAGTCAGTGCTTTGCTGCTGGTTTTGCCTTGCTGCATTCAAGCCTGTCCCACCTGTTAGAGAGCTGAAAAGTGTTCCCCTCTCCTCCCAGCTCTACCAAGAGAAATACAGGGAGTTCTAGCAGCCCACTACTCATGCTCCTTGTTTCTTCCCAAAGTTCAAGCTACTCATGATTACCCATCTGTTCATTGGTGTATAAATCAGTACACCAGTGTAATTTCTGATTCCTACACAAGGCTGGCTGAAAGGTCACAGCCCAGAGTAGCAGATGATGTGGGTACTACCCAGCATAGCAAAAATATCAATATTTGAAGCCTAAACCAGAAAGGAGCTTCCATGACCATAAGTTGCTTTCACTGGTTTGTACAACAGGATAATCAGTGTATGTTGTCTTCAGTAGTGGTGGAAGAGGAGGAGGTGCTTTCCCACATCACAGGGAAATGGATGAGTCCTCTTGCCCTCAGAGCAGCTTTGAAAAGAGCTGGAGTGAACATTTTCCCAGCAGAGTACTCTCCCAAGTATGTCCCTGTGCCCAGGAAGGTGAGTGACAGAGGAGTTCCTGGTGGCTTTTCCCTGTTTTTCCCTCAGGTCACCCTTTGCTGCCCTGGGAGCTGCTGTGCTGCCAGCAGAGGCTCTGGCACTGCTGCAGCACAGGGAGATGGAGAGATGTGTTTGTCTGATTTGTATCATGCCCTGCAGGCTGCCCTGGCAGAAGTGAAGGCCTATGGACAGATGGCTCTGCTCTCAGCTGCTTTTGCTTTTGCTCACAGCAAGTGGAATGGAAAAGCAGGGCCAGAGCAAGTTGTGTTCAAGGTTTGTGGAGCCCCAGACTTCCAGGGCAGGCTGGCACTGACCCCATCCCCAGTTAGAAACAATTAACTCACCGTGGTGGCTTCAGCCCCTGCCTCAGTTCAGTGTCACAGGCTGCACCTGAGAGCTCTCAGGGGACACAAGGCTCAGCAACAAAGACACTTGCTAAGGAAAATGGAACTGAAAAGTCACCAAGGGAGGCTTTAGCCAGAGCTGGGGTGACAGAGCTTCATGCTCTCCAGAGGCCCTTGAAAATCAGCTATCTGCTCTGCCAGCTTTTTAAAGAACAGCTGGGACTTTCTTCCTGCCTGGAGGGTTTCTCTTGCTCCCTGCTGCAAAGCAGGCAATGAGCAACCTCTGTTGGTTTGTCTCCACCTGTGAACTAAAACACATGGTTAAAACTTCTCCCAGCCAGCCAAACACTCCCATGTGTGGCTGGAGAAAGGCAGCACAGCCCACTGTGAGAGCTGCAGTGGCTGTCTCACTCTCAGGTTAAATGCATGGGACACACAAATATTGGAATTTGTGCTCTGACAATGGCACAGGCTTCACCTCAGTGCCTTTCTTCCTGCAATAGGTGAGTGAACATCTCACGGCAGGTTCTGCCAAAGGCAACCACTGGTCTCTGCTGATGTTCGATGGTGAGAAAGTGCAACACCTCAAGCTCACTGAAACCAGTGAAGCTTTTTCAGAAGAGCTGGAAGAAGAGTCTGAATTTCACTCCACACTCTACCATATGGTCAAGGATTCTGCCAGCAATGAAGCCATGGATAAAGTGGAAAGAGCTGGCTGCCTGTTCATTGATTCTGTGTATCAGCTGCTCCTCGCTACCAGAGTCTTAGCATACTCTTAGATACTACTGCATGCTTTCCTTCAAAACTTTATTATCAAAAGCTTTCAATAAAGTTACATTTCAAGTCTTAAATCCTTTTCTATTCAAAACACTGAAACAGGTTCTGAAATGCAAACATTTTATCTTTGTTCAAGTAAAATAAATTCTTTATTCAGTTGTGGCCAGACCACAAGAAGAACTGCAACAACACACAACTGGTGACCAATGCCAAGTCTTCCTTACAAGTTTGTCACAAAAACATATATATATATATAGTATTTTTCCATCTAGGACTGGTTTGCAACAATGCATAAAACCAGGACACACTTACTGCAGTGTAGCTGATGTCACAAATTGTTACAAATGAGGAACCATAAGAGGGGGGACAGAACTACACCTCTTAACCCTTCCCTGCCCTAATTGAAGTATCTGCATCCATCCTCAGATGTCTGAATATGCAGCCCAGACACTGGAGGAGCATCTCTTCTGCAAGTTTGGATGTTGTTTGTATATCACAACCCCAAAAAGTTGATCTTAATCACTGATTATTTGTAATAATTTTATGTGTAGAGTCAAATGAAGAATGCTTTGAAAGCCAAAAACTGCTACCTGTAATTAGGGAAAACCAAAGCATGCCCTAAGCACTACACTTTTTCTGTTACATTACCAAAATCATCTCTATAGGATGGGGAAAGGATGTAGGAAAGCAAATCTTTTATTGCAAAGCTGTACCATTAGGCAGAACAAATGCTCATCTTTGAACTCTCTTAAAAAATAAAGGCAATTTTTGGATGAATAAATTTAATCAATAAATCTAAACCCAACAACCACAAGAACAGATTATCAGAAGTGGGAATTAGATAAGAGGCAGGTAGAAATGAAATCCTAAATACAGCTACACTGTTAACTGTATTTAACACAGTATCTCAGTTCAGAAGTTTATTTTTTACCCCAACTAAAGTGTTTTGATTTCTAAATCACTACAGCAATTTAATAAGAAAGCAAGTTTAACTACCTGAAACTAAAGGCTGATTTTACCAGACCACTGTATAGACAAAATACAGGTGACAATGTTTAGAAAGCTGGATACTGATGGTCACACATAGAAACTGAATTCAAAACTTAGTTTATATCAATTGTTTTTATTAGATATCAGCAGTTTACAAATTTGAATTAAGAAAATTACAGAACAGAATTAACTTGAATTTATTCTTGGTTGAAAAGTTTCTTCTTTAAGGTCATAATCATTTTTATGCAGGATGTCATCAGCAATAAATTCTAGACTGTCTAAAACACAGCCCCCTATTTCCTTATTCAGCAATTGATAATTTATCAAAAATCTAAGATTGTGCTAAACATTTTTAACAAGTATTTAATTAACTACTCTATTAGGCCCTTAGTATATTTCAAGTTTTTTTTTTTCAATTTTTACACAATACAGAATTTTTAAAAGCACTTAAGGATTCTATATTGCAATTTTATTTGTAACTTTCAAAACTAGGAATAAATAGACTGTTCCCACAACAAGGTGAAATCCACTATTCAGCATTACCACACTTTGACTTCTCCACATTTCACATCTAAGCACAGAACCTTCTAGCTGGAATACTGTATTAAACCACTAATTCCCCACCATTTTAATGCACATCAATTTATGACTTTAAGAGCTTTTACTTCCTGGCAACACAGGTTTAAATTAAATGTATATTTTGCTACAGTCTACTGAACACCACCACCTCCTTTCTCCTTCCTGCCTCACAGACAGAGCCAGTAATAAAATAAAGCTCCCAGCTTATCTAACAATAAGGCTGTTAAGAAATAAAGACTGGAAAGGAAGAAAAGAGAAAAAGTATATGCAATGTAACAAGTTGCTGCAAGATTTCTGCTTTGTTAAGATGAAACAGCACTAAGAAGAGGCTGAGTCAGAAATCTGCACTAAGAAATAGGTAAAAACATCATCGGTCTTAAGGCAACCTTCATTTGAATCAGCAGAGTGATTACTTGTGTGCCTGAAGAGGAATCCTTCTTTAGCTTCAGTTAGGAACCATATCGGTCCTAGAAAAGCAAAAACAAATAAAAACCAGGTATGAGTGGGTTTTCCATGCAAAGAAATCAGTTTTATTTCAATTTGTGCAATAAATAGCTGCTGAATTCTTCAAGACTTTCAGAAAATGGACCAGTGCTTCCAAGAACTGGAGTTTAGGGTGGAATTCCAGAATAATCAGCCTGATTTTCAAACATCTGAGAGTTCCCAATGACCCCATAGAGGAATTACCAAGTGAGTGGAGCACAAAACCTGCTGGACACTGAGGTCAGGATGGCTTATTTCATGCAAAAACATGGATCAAAGGTCAACTAAAGAGCCAAACAAGAGTTGGGCTGGATGATCACTGCAGACCCCTTCCACCCAAACTACTCCATTCTGAGTTAGCAACTGTGATGAGTTGAAAATAGAGTGACAACAAATAACTTTCATGACAGGATTTTTTAATTCTAAGAAAAAAGATATCCTAATGAAGGTGAGCTAGCAGATACAGATTTGTTTTCTAAATGATAAAGATTTATTGTCTACTTTGAGAGGTCTACAGAGCTCAAAACCAAAAGCATTCTGTTCTCCCTAAAGATAATTCAGTGGCAGGATCCATGGTACTAAATCCCTATAAAAAAGGCTTCAACTGATGGTTAATAGATTGTGATATTTTTACTCACCTGTATAGATGTCATGACTCCATTAGCAAGGACAGAAAGTTTTCCAGCCACGGATTTCACTCCTTGTTTAAACTGAGTTATATCAGGAGCTGAAGACAAGACATTGGTAATATTGTAGCTTCCTAAAAGGAGAACACACACACACATGGAGGAAACAGAATTTTAAAATATTAAAATTAACCTTTTTTCCTCCCTGAAGTACAATGTATGACCAGGAGCACTAGACAGAGATCTCAGTGTCTTAAATGCATTTCGTTTGGATTGTTTGCAGGTTTTCATTATTCCACTCAAGAGTGCCATCCTCTACACTCTGCATTCCCAGCAAAGCAATTGATGTTTGGATAGTAGATGACTTATTGTGTACTTCCAGTCTGTGACAATGTCGTTCTGTATCCTCAACAGCTCTTATCCCCTTGCAATTTACAGATGAGTGCACTTCAGAGGTGGCTGAAGTGATGAACCCTATTTGTGTGCATGCAGAGGGGTGATGTCCATGCCATATAAACACAAACATTTTGCCTTACTACATTTGAGGCTTGGAAAAATTCACAGAAATTACAGTAAATGTAAATAAATTAGGTTTTATAACTCCAGAACAATGCTGGCAATCCAGCCTTCCTTAAAATTTGGACAGAATTAACTCAGCTGTTATTATGGAAAATGCAGGTCTAAAGGTAAATGAAATCAAAGATAATTAGCTACTCTAAGTGCAGTCTAAACTAACTGCATGCTAAGTATTAACATGCTAACAGCTACTGTCACCCACTCATTGGTGAAAATAAAAACTGGCATGCCTTAATGTCAAGTATGGGATACTGTCAAAGGCACAAATCCAAGTAAACCAGAATCACAGAACTGTGATCACAGAGTCAGCCCCAGAAAGGCCTGGCATGGAAAGAACCTCAAAGATCATCTCATTCCAATCCCCTGCCATGGGCAGGGACACCTGCCACTATCCCAGGTTGCTCAGAGCCCCATCCAGCCTGGCCTTGGACACTGCCAGGGATCCAGGGGCAGCCACAGCTTCTCTGGAAAACCTGTGCCAGGGCCTCAGCACCCTCACAGGGAACAATTCTTTCCCAATATCCAACCTAAACCTGCTCTCTGTCAGTTTAAATCCATTGCCCCTTGTCCTGTCACTCCAGGCCCTTGTCAAGAGTCTCTCTCCATCTTTCCTGTGGGCTCCCTTCAGGCACTGCAAGACCGCAATGAGGTGACCCCAAGAATCTTGGGAATAAATGGGGCTCCAGGGAGTAACTATCCCAAACCAGACCATTTTCCAAATGGAGACTCCTTTGAATCTTCCAGACAGGGGTGGAGGAGGAAGAGAGAGAAGGAAGAGCTCCTCTGTCCTGGGAAGTTAAAGGCACCTGCCTCCTCAGCAGGCTGAGACAGACAATCCTGGAGATAATTTGTTTTACCTAAGATAAGAGGATGGTTTGTAGCACAGATATCTTGTCACATTAAGAGAACTTTACACTCCAATCCTTCAACCCAGCATGGGTTTATAGATATTATAGATGCTCTTTACAGATTCCCTTGAAGAGTTCCCTCAGACAGCCCTATTTCTGAGCTGTAACCTGGACTTACGATCTGTTCATTCATCAAAAGCTTAAGGCATTGTTGTTACTAAAATCAGTCACAGAAATAAAATCTGCCAATATAAATAACCTGAGAATCTCTAACCACTTCTCAGCCACAAGAATTCCTTCATTTGCTGGCTCAGTTAAGTTCATGTAAACAAGGCACGAAAGCATCTCCTTTTCTTGTGGTTTCCTTCCAAATCAGCACCTCCAAGTCAGCCCCTTGATTTTCTTAAGCATCAGCTCTGAAATAATGCAAAAAGGCCTTTTCTTGCAGCCCCCTCCTTGGTTAAAAACTTCCTCACAGCATTCTGTACAAAAGCAAGGAGCCCTCACTGACACCTCACCAGTGCTCATAAAAACAACCTTAGAGCAAAGGATGTTTTATCCTGGCAAGGTCTCCAGAACTACAATGGTGTTTTTATTGACAGTCCTGATTATGTTTATTTTATGGAACTAATGATAGCCTGGGCATTCATTCCACACCAGACAAACTGTCAGTGCAGTAGCATTTCTCCAAGAAGGGCCACCCCTCAGTTTTTGGGGTGAGGGGTGTAAGCAGAGACATGCAGGAAAGGAAGTTTCAGTATTTGATATGGTGTGAATTTATGACACCATGTGGCAAATGCTCTTTCAAGTGGCTAAAGCAACTTACTGTGAGTTCTGCTTGGTATCTTATTCCCTCCTTAATTACTTTTTTTCACATTTCAAATTCCTAAATCCCAGTTTTACTTAAGCAACCAGTATCAGGAGTTATAAATAACCATATAGTTATATAATACCTAAAATAAATATATTATA